AGTGTTCTTGTGATGAGATATATTTCTCTTTATATTTTGAATGTCTTCACTGGGCAGTAATTTGCCATGACAGAAACAGCCAAGCATTTGTTCCATTTAAAGGCACAGTCTGATCCACGCAGAAGCTGCCCCTGGCGACAGTGTAAACAGAGAAGAGTAGGTATAGACGGGATGGTTGGCGTGCAAGAAATGCACTCAAACTTTATTTCAGCTAAAATTGCATAAGAATGGCATTGAGAAGAGTGACAAAGATGCAGTATGGCTTGCTGATAGCCTGATCGCTGATCATATGGACAGTTTTTTCCACATCCATTCACAGATATTTTTTGTATTACTCATATATTAACAAATTACATATACCTTTTCTGGATCATATGCCTTATTTAAAGAGGCAACCTACAGCATAATTTTCATGAATTCACAACTTATTTTCAACTATAATTTTATACTATGTAATATATAATTATATTATTATATGACATATTGTAATTTTATATATGTATTTTTTACGTTGTATAACAGAAGTCCCACATACATGATGTTTCATTTTTTTAGAAGTTTCCAGAACTTTCTGTATCACTTTTCTAACAGGTTAAATATTTCCACCTTCCTCTAGTTGTAGTAAAACCTGCAAACATGGTCCCTGAAAGGTGAAAAGGAAAAACAAAACAAAAAGCCCAAAAGACTCAAAAGCAAAATTGAAGATATCTTATGAATCTCAATTTATGTTAGAGCTTGAACAAAAGTTGTAAGCTTTGGGACTGTCATATATTCTGTTGGAAAGTGGCAAACCGAATTCTAATTCGTATCAGAATGTAACTTTTAATCTGTTTTGGGATCACATGATCTAAAATGCAAGAACATTGAGCCCAATGTAACTCGTGCAGCTGTTTGAAACAGAATTTACACATAATGTCGTGATCACCAATCAACTTTGCTTCCCATTAAAAATGTATTATTTCCCAGACAGTTCAGTGTATAGTGAGAAAACATGGAGTTAACTTGGAGTATCTTTGACCAAGGCAAAGCATCCCTTTTGTACTGCTCTTTATGTCAAATGAGTTGGGCAGCTTTTCAAGTGAACTGCCCATTTCGTAGACTGTTTACGAAGGGCAAGGGTGGAGATCTTTGTTTTTTCTACACTGACCAGTCACATAATTGCTTAACATTCTATTTGTTTCATTATATCTACATTAAGCATAAGCAATTTAAAAATTATATAGGGTGAATTCTAGACTCTGGAGGCCTGAGGAGCTCAGGGCAAAGCCTATCTTTAGAGATAGCCTTTCCATGTGTCCATTGTCATTTCAGAGGAGGATAACCTGGACGTACCTGAAGACATCAATGTCCGGATTATGTCCTCCCAGTCGGTGCTTGTAGCCTGGGTGGATCCTATTTTGGAAAAACAGAAGAAAGTTGTTGCATCAAGGTACTTTTCCTTATTTCTTCATCTTTCTTTTATGTATGAAAGATGGGGTTTTTCTGGCCCTGAAGAGACGTGTGTTTATTTGAGTGATTTTATTTTCTGACATATATGAATGCTGGCCTCTTTGGTCGCTGCAGTAGACTATGGTAGACTATCCTATGGTAATCTAGCTAATCCTAAGTGTGGCCACACATTTCCTACAGATCAGATGCTGCCAGGGCCTCGTGTGTAATGCACACAGTGGGACCTCACATCTTGCTTGCTCAGCCTTACCTTGTGTCTGGAAATGTCCTAGATTCCATTTCTTTCTTTTTCCCCATTTGTGTTTGCTTTGCCTCATTAATGCTCTACTCACGTGCAGAGGCTATGGGCTCATCTGAGGAGGCGTCCGACCCTTCCTTCTGTTATCCAGGAAGAGTGGCAGCATGAAGGATCTTATGTAGAGTGTTGGGCAATGGTCTAATGCCTTCCATACAGCAGCTCCTCTTGAGACATTCTTCAAGTACCAAATTGCTTCATGTCTAGCTTACCTGTGCATAACAAATTGAATCGTATTTTTTCTTAAGCCATGACGTTATGCTATTCTGGTTTTAATATTGGTTTTCAGTAGCAACAGGGGAAAAACTAATCATAAAGTTAAAATAATTTTTGTGTTAAAAAGGCCACTGGTGAACACCATTACTAGTTAGTGGTAGGTTAATATAGTCATCAAAATTTTATGTGTTAAATGACTGAATAGTTTATGTAGGCAAGAGGCAGCCAAAGATTTTGTGGCCTAGTCATTATGTATTAATTTTGAACCTATCTATATTCACCAGGAATAGTGAATGTACTTTAAAAAAATGGATGGAACATAATGATGAGAATGTATTATATATATACAGTAATACCTTGGTTTGCAAGCATAATTCATTTTGGAAACAAACTACTCATATTGCAAGACATTGTTCATTTACCAAGTTAAAATGTATTAGAAATGTTTGCTCATCTTGCAGAACATTCACAAACCATATTACTCGCAATCCAAGGTTTTAATGTATATATACATAGATATATATGTATATATATCTATGTATATATGTGTATATATACATATATATGATTAAATATAGTTTCTGTGATTGCCCTCTGGTAACAATAGACATCTGCTTCTTTTGAAAGACCTCTGAAGGCTCATAATGATTCTCCCCCTAGCCATATGGCCTGCCCAACACAAAGTGTTCCTGAACCAATGGACTTTACTTTCCAAAATTTTGATGAAAACAAGAGGGCTTCAATTTTCTTAGCAGAACTCTTGAGTTAATTGGTGTGCCGCGTCTGCAGTGGAAGTCTTGTCCTGACTTCCTGCTGTGATGAACAGCACATTTAAAATGCATCAAATGCTAGGGCCGGCTGAGTGGCTCAGTTGGTTAAGAGCTCACTCAAGAGTGTGAGCTCTGAGCAACAGGGTTGCCGGTTTGATTCCCACATAGGCCCAAGCTGAGCTGCCGCTGAGCTGCCGACAGGTGGCAGGATGGCTCAGCTAAATATAAAAATAAACAAATGAATAAATAAATAAATACATAAATAAATAAATAATAAAATGAGGATAAATGCATCAAATGCTTTCCACTGCCAAGTGCCCACAAAGACAAGTGCTTGGGAAAGGAATGCGTGAATGGCATCTGCAATGCTGAGTGTTGAGGTCCCCTGTCTGGGGCTGTGGAATCCGCCATGTTTGGTCACGCCATGTTTCCCTGCTTGATAGTCACCCACTAGAGTGCCTTTTATCAGCTCCCCTATCCTGCTGTTTGTTACACATTTTTGCTCCATCTCATGGTAATAAGTCTACTCCAAACCACATACTGCCTCCCCCCCTCCCCCTGAACCTATAGGAAACATGCCTGATTTGGTCCTTTTGTCTTTCTTTTCTGGAAAGCCCAGATACTTTAGGCCAGCTCTGACTTTTAACATTGCCCTCTCCACACCACACACACCCACAAACACACACTCACACATGCACACACATCCCTGGTAAGGCACTTGCCCCCTTCTCCTCTTCCCCTTTGGAATCTCGGCTTCGGCTTTTGAACAGTAAGGCTTTCGGCCTTGCAAAGACGCTAGGCTCCATGTTCCCTGGTCTGCTTTAGATGCCTTTGCCTAGAACTTCAGTAGATTCTTTGAGCCAATAACAGTCAAAGATGTAGATTTTTTTTTTCTCCTCTTTGATTTCCAACTAACCTCTCAAAACCATCACTTCTGGGGAAGGAAAAATATCAAGCGATCTCGTGCTCAATTATGGAGCATTAGCACCTGGGTGCATTGTTGCCTTTTGCTTTCTTACAGACATTACACTGTGCGCTATCGAGAAAAAGGGGAGCTGGCAAGGTGGGAGTACAAGCAGATCCCCAACAGACGCGTGTTGATCGAGAACTTGATTCCAGACACCATGTATGAATTTGCAGTCCGTATTTCACAGGGTGAAAGAGACGGCAAATGGAGTACCTCTGTCTTCCAAAGAACGCCAGAATCTGGTCTGTATTTAAATAGGCCTTTGGGTTTTCAATTTGGGAATACCCCTAAAATAAGATTCAAAGAAGCCAATAGTGATAAAGGCCAGCATAGGCATTTTTAAAAAGTAACATCAACCCTAAATCTTGGTAGTATGTCTATGTATGAACTCAAAGATGTTAAGGAACTATTTCCTTGGGTGCACGTTTTATCCGTCACTGGCCGTTTTCATTAGTCTGTTATCCTGACGCGTGGAGCACATTGAAGCCCAGTATGGCGTATCTGTGAATCACCGCTGTGTGCCTGGATGCCCCGGGCACCCCAGGGCTCTGGCGTGTAGGGACACTGTTCTTTCCTTGGGCTGGGGTTGCACTGGATTCCAGGGAAGAACTTTGCTCTGTATCCAAGATTACAGTTATTTTCTTTTAAATTACGTCTATACACGCTTTATTTAAAAACTGGAATTTAATCTTCTTTGTATATTTCAATATTCAGCAATGAGAGAAACTCTGAATTCTTAAAAGCATTCCTCTAGCTATGTCTAAGCTCAGTATATGAGTTGTTGGAACTGATAGGAATCAGTGTGTCTCACAAGAGCAAGTGTAGCATTTCCTCTCATTTATATAATAAAAATCAACACTGTAGCTCTTCAGGAAAACCTGTGAACGTAAGAACTGTTTGTCATTAACTTTCAGAATATCTCTGAGGACATTTTTAAACCTCAGGTCCTTGTCCTTTTGTAGCTCCCACTACAGCTCCCGAAAACTTAAACGTCTGGCCCGTCAATGGCAAAACTACAGCAGTCACTGTAGCTTGGGACGCACTGCCTGAGACCGAGGGGAAAGTGAAAGGTAGGAGGACCTCGCTCGTTACTCACAGTAGAAGGTGCTCATGGGCCTCAGATAGTGCCCCGGATAAAGACATGTCCATTGACTCGGATAAATACGGGTTCTGATCGCAGGCCTGGTGACTGCACAAGAAATAGGGAAGCAACCTAGTACGTGTCTGAAGTGTTAACCCAATGGACAGGGCTATTTCGTGCAGGGTTTTCATTGTTGGTAAGATCCAGGTAGTCAGGAAGGTGACTTCCCATCCTTATATGCAGGAATTTGGGTGCTGCTATCAGAAGGGGTATTTTTAATTGTATGAGTGTGACATCCCAACCTTTACAAATGACACCTTGTTTTTCATGCTGTGGTCTTTTCGTTGTGCCAGTAATCATAGAAAGTAGCCGTGAGCAGGAGCCCCATGGGACCATGCATGTCTCGAATGGGACCATAAATATTTTTAGTGGGTTTGGAAACTTGAGTAATAAAATCAAATGGAAAATGGATTTTTTTTCCTATTTGTGAGCACTTTTAATTAATTTTGGGGCCGTTGAGGAAAATACCACCTTACAATAGAAAGAAAGAATACTGTAGATTTACAAAAGAGAGTAAAATATTCACAAACCATTAAATTTAAAAACAGTCTGTTGAGAATGCTAAATGAAAGCACAGTCTTTTCTTTTTAATGTAAAAACATTCAAGGAGCTTTCAGAAGTCTGTTGGAGACATTTTAAAGGGAAGTATTGAGGTTTTTCCAACATCACCTATACTGATGTACCTACCCTAAGACTACTTTTTATTGTTTCTCGATTTAGGAATACAATTTTAAGTCTTCAGAAGCTATGAAATTTAGTGTCCAGAAACTATGAAAAATGTGTGTAAGCTTAAAGAAATCCAGAAAATTGTCCCTAATCTTCTTTGAGAATTTCTTAATTGAAAAAGATGAATGGTTCTCTTTTGTATCCAACTGTCAGTTCTCTTTGCTGACCTGTAAGGATCTTTTCATGGACCAATAGAAGGCAGATAGACAGACATGAGATAGTCTTTCCTGAACTTAATGCTTTCTTACTTTCCAGTTTATTTTAAAGAATATATTATACGAGTCTTGCATGTTCTTTCAGAGGATTAAATTAGAAACAAATGAAGAGAAGAAATATTTAGATTGCCCCTTTTTAATCATTCTTTCTATGACAATTTAACATTGGCTCCTTCTGTATTAAGTGCTATTGATGCTGCAAAGGCTGCTGAACATTGAATAAAGACATTTTTTGGCTGACTACTTCTTTTTGTTACAAAAAAACAATTATTGCTCCGTTAAGTGACTTTATTATCGTGCTACTTATTTTCTTTCCCTCTCCCAAGTCTTAGTTTATATTTCTCTCTCATTGGTAAAAGAAACTCCCTGGTGGTCAATTCCGTATCGCCAGAAATAATAACAGCTACTGGGTTTTTATGTCCAGACGAACTCAGAGAGCTTAACCCTGCCTTGGTAGTTTTCATAAAGGTGTAATGGCGGGATTGAAGCTTCATAATTATCCTGGCGCATTTTTTATGCATGAGAAATAGAAAACACAATAGTGGGATATACTTTGACATGGTTAAATTTTTTTCCAGATGAATTGAATCCATAAAAGAATCTGAATTACAAAATTTTATAGACAGTATGTTCTTCCAATTCTTACTTTTGACCACCACAAATGACTAGTTTCTTCATTTCCAATGAGCAAAGAATGCTTTTTCCCTCCCAAAAAAATGCTGCAGAAGCATTTTTGGTTGAAAGTTTTACAGTGAATGTACTTTTAAAAGATTAGCTCTTAGTTAAAAGAAAATATCTTGCACATTGCTCCCCTAGGAAGGATGATAATTGCTTGGTTTTTCTGTAATTCAAATTATTTTTCTTGGTTAGTTCCTAGTCATACTAATTTGCTAAGTTTTGCAAATCTTGAGTTCCTTGGGGGTAAAATAGGGATACAGTTTTTAGTTGAGGGTGAAAATTATGCTTTAAAACATGGCTTCCTTATGTGATAGTATTTCCATATAAGCATACCGTAGAGATATATTAGATGCTTGGACTGAATTTGCTATGATTTTCAATCAAGGGTGTTATATGTTTATAGATATAGCCAATTAAAGACAAAAACATTAGATATCGCATAAATCTATTACTTAGCAACTCTTCCTCAATTTTAAATATTGTGAAACATCCTTATCTGCATATATTAAGAACTTTGATAATTTCTACAAAAGTGAAATTATATTCCAAATATGGAATTTAATTGGCTGAATGTACAAATCAAAATAGCCTAGATTAATAAACTGGAACTCTTGAAGATGTCGGCAGTTATTCAGAATCAGTTCCTAGCAGTTGTCATTTCTTTTTCCATGGTTTCTTCTATTCAGGATATATTAATTCTATCATAGCAAATTAGTATATAAATACAATCCAGGAAAAAAACCAGACATGGTGTAATTATTGTTGGTAAATTGTATGAAGACTGGCCTCTTGGGTTCCATATATTGGATTCGCTGAGAATGTACAATTGCCAGCTAATTAACTACATAGCCCAGTCCGGTAGCCTGAGTGAGTTCTCGTTCGCCATCTCCTAGATCTGTGCGCTCCGGCTGCTGACTTGGCGTGCATTGCTAGAGTATTCATCTTAGTAATGCACGTTCTAATTCATCCTGCCCATACAGTCTGTCTGCTGGACACAGGACTGTTTTCAGTTTCCTCCTTCCAACCGTCTGCCAAATCATTTCAGAATACATTCTTTCATACGCCCCGGCTCTCAAGCCATTTGGAGCAAAGTCCCTCACCTACCCTGGAGAGACTACTTCTGCCCTAGTGGATGGTCTGCAGCCTGGGGAACGCTATCTTTTCAAAATCCGGGCCGCAAACCGGAGAGGAATGGGGCCTCACTCCAAAGCCTTCGTTGTTGCTATGCCAAGTAAGCATTTTGTGTTTGCGTCTCTTTCTTATCTCTCTTTTTGCTAATTGTGGTGTGTTACTATAAATCATGGCTCTTGGGTTTAGAACTGCTCCATTGGTGACTTTTTGAGCTAAGTTTACCTATTGATTTCTAAAATATTGTTATAGTCCTTTTAGAAATTAGTCTCCCCAAAGACTAAAATGTTATTGATTGCCAATAACATTGATTACTATTACAATATTACAATAACATACATGTATGAATTATGTGATTAATCTTATGTCACTGTGTAACTTGGGGTTTATGATGACAGGGAAAGGACAATTTTACAAGTATAATGTAACACTTCTAGTTGTTAGAGCTCTTCAATTTGTAAATATAATAGCATTTAAAATGTTTAGTTTGTATTCCATTGTTATGGCGTGCAGCTTTACTCAGAAAAAATTCAGTTACCTTGTTTACCTGATCAGTATCAAAACCAAGCAGGTAAATAAAGTCTAAAAATGGGCATTGTTTTGGGCTGTGATTTCCTTTCTGTTCCCCTGCATTTACACCATACATTAATAGCTCTCGCCTTCCTTATTTTTGGTGAGAACCCACACGGTACTGCAGTCTGGAAACAGTTCCGTCCTGGAAAAAACTGAAATAGATGAAGGTTGCTCCTTATGGATTCCCCCCTGCTACATAAATGTCCTTCCCTTACAGCATCTCTCTCCTCATTCAGTCCTGCTGTCGAGAAAGCATATGTTGCAGGGTACGTTACTATAATGTCTTGCCTGCCTCAGGATGCTTTTTATTTTGGGCATTGCTTTGGAATGACAAATGTATCCATTATTAAAGAGATCTGAATAGAGAAGGAAAGGGAGTGAAGGCATGTTAGGGAGACTAGGAAACTTGATGTAATGCCTCAAAAATTACAAACTTGTTGCTCACCTCAGTCACTTGCCAATCACACACAACCCCCCCCCCAAAACAAAAACATTATGAGCATAGATCGTTCAACATTTTGTACCAGGCTTCTACGTATTTCTTGCCTACGGGGTTAAGAACAGCTATAATGCATTTGTAACATATTGAAAATTAGTTTTATTAAGGAAACCCTATGCTTTTGCAAAATCAATGGATTACTTCAAAGTGCTCTTTTGAAAATTCCTTTAAATAATAGGCTGTGACTTAACCTAATTCAATTTATAGAAAGTCAATTTACACATATTTTCTAGAACTACATCTATTACTTAAAGCAAAATAGGGCTGTAAAAGAGTTTGCTATCATTGGGAAAATAAGGGTCCAATGTCCTAAAGAATTAGAAGTTATCGATTACAATCGCCATTTTTAAACGGCATGGAGGCACTTTCTGTTGCAGAACTTTCAAATTTCTTCTTTGACGGCAAATTCTTCAAAATCTATTCCAGCCGGTACCAGTGAGTCCAATGTTCAGCAGAAAACAGGCACGGAGGAGAAGCGGAGACCTGAAAAACCCGAGCCTCCCTCGTCTTCCCCCAAAACGCCAGCTTCCTCAAAACACACTCATGTGCCTGTTTCTCCTCGCGGTAGAAATGACTTGAAGAACAAAATACTAGCCAATGGCGGGGTGCCCAGCAAACCCCAGCTTCATCCTAAGACTGCAGGGTCGGAGCTTCAGTCGACAGAGCTCACAGATGAGGAGGCGCTGGATGCCCAAGGGGACCCACCAACGGCGCCCTCGGAGACCCAGGACCAGAGGCGACAGCAGAGGCCACCAAGCAGATCTGTCCACCCGGCCCTTGCTTCCGGAAGGACTCCAGTGAGGGCCCGCACGCCCGTGCAGCCCCGAAAGGAAGGCGTGGAAAAGCCTGGTTCCTCGCTGCCCTCCCTCCACACCCCCGCTGAGGGCGGCCCTCAGGGCTCTGCCAACCTGCCGTCCAGCTCTGCTGACAATGACTCCCTGGACCAAGAGGCTGACGAGCCAGCCGCAGGCTCCCTCCACCCCAAGGATGCCTCTTCCGAGCATCTTCGGCCCAAGAGCACAGCCTCCGCTCGGCCAGCCTTGGGGCCCGGCCGCCACTCGGCCTCCGGTACCGTGCGGGACAGACACCCCGCGCACCATGGTGCAAAACCAGCCTTGCCGGCTCGGAGGGCCCCCCACGCTGAGGCTGGACAGGAAAACTCACGTGCTTCGGCCGCACCCTCCAGGCTTTCTCCACCTCATGGGGGGTCATCTCGGCTGCAGCCCACGGAACCCCACCCCGGCTCTCCGCTCTCCGGGGGCTGGAAGGACCGTCATGATGCCCCCGCCGTCAAGTCCAAGGCGCCGTCACGCCCGACCAAGCCCCCTTCTGTCTCCTCGCGCCTCTCCTCAAGGACACAGGTCCCTCAGCGAGCAGACACCTCTGATGGCGATAGTGACAGGGATGCAGAAGATGAAGGGAGGCAGGGCGAGGCCACTGCCCCGACGCCTCGGGCCCGGCTGCCCGCGGGTGGCCCTGTCTCTGGACATTTCAGCTTGCACAGAAACAAGCCCTTTGTTGCCCATGGTAGATACCCAAACAGGTTTGGCAATGGCCGGGGACCCAGGTTACAGCCCTCCAGCTCCCCGCTGTCCACTGCGTCCCCCAGAGTTCCCTCAAGAGGGAATTCCCAGTCGGCTTCTGAGCGGAGGCGAGGCTTGGGTATCCATGGTGAGGACACGGAGGCAGAAGACGAAAAGCCACTTCCGGCCACCATTGTCAATGACCACGTGCCTTCCTCCCGGGGCATAAATCACCTGCAAAGAGGCCCCCAGAGGGAAACGAACCTTCCGCGGAAAGAGTCCCCAGTAGAGAACCCCAAGTCCGCTGGGACCTGGGCAGGTGCGCACCCCCAGGACAGATCGCAGTCCTCTAAGGCGCAGGATATACAACAGAGCACAGACGAGGCCGTGGAGGAGGGTTCTCCCAAAACCCACCTGTCCTCTGCTCGGCTGCCCGCAGGGAGGTCACAGCACCACCCCGGGTCCAGCGTGCCCAAAAGGAAGCCCGGGCTTCCCCAGGACCCTTACGCATCCAGAGGCAGTCAGTCCTCCCTCCTGGCGAACTCCCGCGGGGTGCCCCCCACATCTCCCCAGAATCAAAACGAGGACTCCGAGAGCAGATATGGCGAAAACCACGACGACGACAGCACAGAAGCAGAGGCCCGAGGTGTCCGGGCGCCCGCACACTCGGCCCCGGCCAAGGACACCACCCTGTCTCTCCCCAAGCACAGGCAAGTGGAGGCCCCAGCAGGAAGCGCGGGCGACAGCCACCTCCGCAGACCTCCAGGACCCTCCCTGAGGCCTGGCAGGCCCTACACCCACGCCCGCACCAGGGTCCCGGCCCGAGCAGGGGCCCAGGCGGCGGCGAAGGACCGGGAGTCTCAGGCCACACCACTCAAGAGGGAGCCTCTCACCTCTAAATCTCAGCAGTCGGTCTCAGCTGAGGAGGAGGATGAAGACGCCGGGTTTTTTAAAGGAGGAAAGGATGAAGACCCGCTGTCTTCTTCGTCTCTTTCAAAGTGGCGCTCCTCGTCTGACCCCAGGGGCAGCAAATATACGGATGGGAACAGAGCTAAGGAGGAGACAGAGTCTGCCTTGGTGCCTGCGCCCCCCAGAGGGAGCTCCCCCCAGGAGGAGAATGCAACCCCGGCGCAGCGATCTCCTCCACCTCCACGCAGCTCCCCGAGAGCCTCGCACCTCCTGCCCAGACACCCCCCTCGCAGCTATGTCACCCCCAGTGCCGCCGTGAGCACCCCTGCGCGGCCACGGTACACCACCCGCGCCCCTCCGGCCTATTCGTCCACCACCCCCATGCTCTCCCTGCGCCAGCGCATGATGAACTCCAGGTTCCGGAACCCTCTCTCACGCCAGCCTGTGAGACCCCCTTTCAGACAAGGTACTTGTTTTTAATTTAACATTTTCTTTACGATTTTCAGTAGTGTTCATAGCAATTCCTCAGAGGCTTCTAGGTTATGCAGCATCTGCTCCGCCCAAGCTCTGTGTTGAGGGCTTTCCAGATGCAACGGGCTTGCCTCCTGGCTATCTCGAGTTTGCATTGTTTTCAGATGCAGAAGCTGAGGTGCGACTTGCCTGAGGTCAGACGGCTTTGAAGTGGCTGATCGGCCATTGCAATCCCTAACACTCGGGTTCCACAGCCCTCTGTCACTCCACTGTCCCATTCTGCCTTTTTGAATTCCTTAACAGAAGCTTTTCATGTGAAAATGTGTCACAGCCATGATTTCAAACTCAGGCTTCTGTATTTTAGGCGACAGTTGCTCACATGCCAGGGTACAACTTAAGGAATACAGCAAGAAATTAAATATTATCTGTGGAAGCTTGATCTTGTTCTTGCTGATGCTGCATATATTGGGTTGTCGGAAAAGTCATGATGCATTTTTGCAACGAAAACCAGAAAAAAGTATGTCATGACTTTTCCGACAACCCAATAAAACTGTCACTGAACATACCGTGGGGCAAACTCAAATGCCTTGGGTATGAATTGCTTAAACGTTGCACTCCATGAACGTTGTTTAAAACCTCCAGAAAAATGCATGTTAGACTATTGTCACACAGAGTGATTAACAGGCAGATGTAGGACTTACTGAGGGCTGAACGTCGACAGCTATGAACTGGAGCCTAAACTAAGAACTGGAGTCTCCCTGAACCCCAGGGCAGGACCCAAGGTATTTCCCACAAGTCTGCATCTGCCTTGTGCTCTCCTTGCATGGAATCAGGGCTTCATAGAACATTCCTGAATGAATGCATTAATGTTTAGTCAGTCTGTGCAATGTATTGTTTAGTTTAGCCCAACGTAAAGACAGAACACATGCCCCACTTTGAGGTCAGTTTTCCGATAAAATTGACTATTTTAAGCAAACCTAAGACCCTGATAATAGATGTAAAACTCACAAGCCCTCTACATACTGGAAACTCAGTAAATATTTTATTTTCATTAACCATTTGACCAAGAGAAAAAGTCTGACATGCAAATAGTTGCCAGAAAGCCCAAGCCCGTCACCCCATGGGGGGCTGGATTACAGAGTGTGCCCTGCAAAGGCCTCCAGAGCTGTAGCTGAGAAATGGCATGAGACGAAGAGGAAGGTCAGGGGAAAGGAGCGGACAGGACAGCTAAGGGACCTGGTGCTTCCTCTCTGAGCAGACCCTTCTCAAGCAGCCCCACAAAGCTCAGAAAGCTCTGAGGCAGCACTGTGTGTTTACACTCAGCCACCGACAATGGGGAACTGAGTCCACTAGAAGAAGCTGTGTTTAGTATAACCTGCTGAGAAGAAGCAGCTAGACCTTTTTAGAGACAATTTTCTCCGTCCTTCTAAGCCTCCCTCCCTCCAACTTCCAGCTGACTAAAATAAAGCTACTGCTACTAAGGTCTTAAGCTTTATCTGGAAAATTTACTTATGCTGAACACTCTCGTTCTCCCAATATTGTCAGAAAAGTGTGACTTGACTGTACTCTGGGTTGACATCCATATTTGTCGTGTAGAAGTCACTATCCTTATCTAACATATACAAACTGATTAAAATTCCATTTAGTGTTTCTGTTTGAAATGATGTGTTACTACTTATGGATTGGTATGAAGCCAACTTTCCAGAAATGTTGGGTTTACTAGCTTCTCTGATTTTATTTTCTTGTACTTTGTAGGTTATAATGGCAGGCCAAATGTAGAAGGGCAAGTACATCCTGGTAGTAATGGAAAACCGAACGGACAAAGAATTATCAATGGCCCTCAAGGAACAAAGTGGGTAGGGTAAACTTCTTTACACATTCCAGTTGTTTTCATGCTGTTGGGAAGAGAAAAATGGTGGACATTGTGTAACTCTAATGAAGCGGCCTTTTTTCTTCCTCTCTAGTTTTAACCACTCGTATGTCAGTACACTATACATTTTTTCCAGCAATCAGAAAAATCTTTGATTCTCCTGCGTAGTAACTAGTTTTTCTTCTCATAGCTAATAAGACAAAGCATGGACCTTTGTCTCTCATTTGCCTTGACTGGTTAGGACGCTCAGACAAAGGTATGGCCCAACCACAGTGGTAACATAGAACCTAACGCACGGCCTCTCAAATGAACTTCTATTTTCCTAATCCTGATAGCTTTATTTTATTTTTATTTTTTGTTTATCATGTAATTAAATGGTGCACATATTTTTCTGTAAATTGTCTCAAATTCTTTGTAAAGTAAATTGAGGGTAATGGGCAGAACACTTTACAATGCTCAGGGACTTAAAATATTTTTTTCAAAGAATCAAAACATTATTCACAGTGGAATTCCCAGTCCAAACTTCCCACTTGTAAAAATAAGGTTTAGGAAAACATATTAAAGGACTTCATGGAATGTTGAGTCATGGGTGATCGAGTTTATCATTTCTCAAAGGAACAGAAATTTATAATAGGAAGAATGCGTATTAAAGCAAAAGATCATGCAAACAATTTCGAATTGAACTGTCAGGGTAGATTTTGAAAGTAGGGTTTATATAAGTAAGCTTTATTTTAATTGCCAAGACAGCACCCGACAAAGTGTCCTGCTTGAGAGCTTCCTCCAGTGGCCTGCTCATGCAATCATGGTTCTCAAACATTAGCAGAAATCAGGATCACTGGGGGGCTTGTCAAATCCGGTCTGGGCTAGGGCCAGGCAATTCACATATCTGACAAGTTCCCAGGTGACGCTAAGGCTGCTGGGCCGACCACACTTTGACAGCCTCCAGTGTAGAGCATGAGTTTGTTCCTTAATAGAGATAGTGATACTCTTTTTTCGAGTTTTATAATTCCTTAGAATCTAAACTTTTTGCATGCATACTATATTGAGCAATTTAATTGCAAATTAAGTTATTTTTTTATAGCAACTTTGATTTTTACCATTAACAGCAACATGGATACATTTCAGATTTTTAATATACTAGCAATGCATGTTCATTGTAAGAGGTTAAAATAATTCAGAACTATATGAAGAAGATAATAAGCATCACAAATGACATTTCAGAGATAACCACTATAAACAGTTGGGGATATATCTGTCTAGATTTTTTTCTCTGCAGTTTTAAGCTTATAGACACAAATGAATATATTTTTATTCTTGCAAAATAATCAGCCCTGTAATCTGAGTTTGTATCAATGTATGTCCATGTAGGTAGAGTTTCCAAATCCTTTTCACTGGCTGCATAGTATTCCACTGTGTGGATTGGCCATAATGTATTTAATCTCTTCCCTCCATTGATGGACACTTAAGTTGTGTCCTACTTTTCAGCGTTACACATAAAGTACTAAATAGTAAAAGTATTTTGAACATCTTTTGTATATTTGAGGAACTTAAAACAATCTACTTATTATATGGGTAAGCAACTATAATGTGAAATATGTCTGTTTTGCACTTTATTCTCATTAAACCTTATGAATGAGGCTGACAAAAATAATGTTTCCTACTCACTTTATGGCTTCCTTCTGTGGAAGCTTCATGCATGTATTCATGTAGTTGGGTTAATGTGAACGTTTTGAAATGTCCAATATTGGCTTTAATCTGTGTCATGGATTTAGGTGGTGGACCTCGTCCGTGGGTTAGTACTGAATGCAGAAGGAAGGTACCTCCAAGATTCACATGGAAATCCTCTTCGGGTTAAACTAGGAGGAGATGGTCGAACCATTGTGGGTAAGTAAGAATGGTTTTTAAGGAACAAAAGTGTACTGACTTAGCTGTAGAATAACAACTTTTCTTCCTCCTCGCCTGATTTTTTTTTTAATTGTTAGTTTCAGGTGTACAGAACAATCCAATAGTTATCCTTTTCACCCTTCACACAGAAACAACCCCCTCCCCATCTACTGCCCTCCCATCTACTGACCTCCCACCCCCAATATCATGCTTATCTATTACAATTCCGTTGACTCCATTCCCACTCTCTACTCCACGTCCCGTGACTATATGTATATATAATTATAGTTGACATACATTATTATTCTACATCAGCTTCAGATATACAGTGTGCGGTGGTCAGGTCTCTACACCGACTATGAAGTGGTCTCCCTAACAAGACATGAGTCCATCTGGCCCCCTAAAAAATATTTACAACATTATTGATTATATTCC